TATATATTTTATATATACATAGTTGCTACTATCCCCAGAAGTACTTTCTGAATAGTGGGCATGGTGTTCAGATATGACTCCTTGTAAAAGACAGGAGTCACATTTAACAGTGAAAGGCAAGGTTACTACCCGTAATGCCAGGTGTGTATTACCGAGGCAAACCAGGAAATAAAAACATACCAGACTTCCCCTGGCTTTTCTTTGGCTAAAAAAATCACACCACCACTGCTTTCTAGTCTTTAGCTATATCAATCAGTTAATAAATCTTAAGACACATCAGTGGTCTTGTGGGATATCAGTATTCTTGTTCACTACGGCTTCCTTTATTATATTCACAATAGTATTTCACAACAACCTCTTCTGCAAGAATTGGGAACTACATCTTGAGTTACAAAACAATAAAAGAGTACCAGGGACACACTGTATCTGAATTACACAGCTCTAGACAGAATTTAGTAAGGCTTCACTCAATTTCATTCATCAAGGTGGTGACACAGGTACGCTTGAGCACAATCACATAGAAAATGGTCATTACACAGAGACCAATTTCTTTTCTTTTCTTTCTAAGCCTATTGTATGAAGGGGAAGAAAAAAAAAAGAAAGGAAAACTAAGTGGGTTACTCCTAGCAGAAGTCTATAAATTGTTTTTTGTAAAACACAATTTTTCCTCTGTCATGCCTCTCCTCTAAAAGTATATATTGCAATCTACAATGGTTTAAATGCTTTCAAATAGTGTTGCTTAATAGAACAACAGTTAAAAAAACAAACAAACACGAACTATGAAAGAGGAGCTACTTAAATGTTTGAAGGTTCAGTATTACTAGTTCTGGAAGCCCACTGCGAGCTGGGCTTTCTATGCATCGTTCACGCATCTTTGCATGCACTAGTCAGAGCAGGGAAATAAAGGCAGTGCGTACCTGCTTCAGACAGGTCTCTAAGCGAGCTGCTCAGGGCACTTCTTTTCAGCCCCTCCCCAGTAGCATAGCTGTCATCCAGGCAAGCTCTGTTCAGCGTCCCATTGCCAGAATCTTTTTTCAGGCTGGAGCATTGAGACATGCTTGGACGCACCACACCCTTCTGTTTTTCTAGCTCAGCTGAAACAAAGAGAATAATTTTGCAATTCATATTTATTGACTCTAATGAAGGACAGGGTAACATCACAATTTCTGTGTGTCATCATTTATTACTGTGAATAATGCATAAGTTTTCATTTTGGCATTGTCAAATGCCAGAGAGGAATGCCACCCCGTCCTAACAGCCTTCTATTACAACATACAGAGGCTATTCCTCTTTTGGAAAAACAGAAAATTAAATTCCATGTTTAGACAGTCACATAACTTCCAGCAAAATATACTATGGCTACCTAATTGAGAGAATACAGGAATATCAACACGGAAATGAAGAAAAATTCACTGAAACTTTTTTGAAGGGCCATCACTGAGAAATTCAGTGCCGTAAATTATCCCTAACATTCTTCCTGCAACTTATGCCATAAATTACAAATCCACCTCTCCTCTGTCCATTCCTGTTTGCAGTTTTTCCAGGCTAAATTACCACTGCAGCTACACTGCAGTAAAGAATAGTCAATGAACTCATCTGGGGCTTAAGTTATCATTGCGTTTTTCCTCTTTATAGAATCAAAGCCAGAGAAAAAACTCACATTATTTTGAACTTTTAAAGAGTTCTCATGGGTTACACATGTATTCAAGATTGCCTAATTGTGATTAGCTTGAAAGTGCTCTATTATATGTACCTTTGTACTTACACTCTATTCTGTGCTTTTCCATTTCTTGAACCTCTGCAATTGACTCCCTCAAATCATCTGTAAACTTCTTCCTGTCCTGAGGATTTGGTGCATTGAAATTTATTAGTACTTTGATATCTGCGCCTGGAACAGCTGATGTGAGCCGAATACCATTGGGATAATCTAGAAGAAAGAGTCAAGAAAAACTAAGCTCTGATTATTCCAATTATTCTTCTTTTTATAAAACAACCCCAGACTGATGGCTTTTTACTAATATTATCATATAGAGGACAAAGTCAGAGAAATAAAAGTCCAAAGGCACAGAATTAGATTGAAAATCCCTAAGATACACTGGAACTGCTTAACTGACAATATACCAGATAAATATGGAATGATATTACCCTTAGGGTACAATGTACAATATAAAATAACAATCCCAGGGAAAAAAAAAGGGATAATTTTTGTTTCATGAAACAGATCCCATTACCTACTTAATTGTGACCAAAGTTTTGCTGAGTAAAGACTACTTGAATACGTCTCAAGTACTAGAAACTGTCTTATAATTTTAATTTAAAGATGGCATGAAAACAAACACACTAGTACAGCTTTTAGTACTTCCTAATAAGTTGTGTTTCCTGGACATTCTACTTTCCTTTCATTTAAAAAAAAAAAAAAGTGATCTGTGACATTTCATACTAAGAATAAAAAGTAGGGGTATTCCCCCTTACCCCCTTTGGTCCATATTATGGACATCTTCACAGTAAAAGGCAAATATTTCAGTAAACTGTCTTTGTCTCTCTTCTAGCTGCACCTCTGAGAATGCAAATTTTAGCAGCTACTCAAAAGTATCTCCTGGTTGAGACAGAAAGTTCATTTACAGAAAGATAGCTTATAATGAAGATTAGTTCTGCTGTAGAAAACACAATCAGCATTTCCTTAAACCACAGACCTGCAGAAATGGGGTGTCAGAAAAACTCAAAATGTGCATTCTAATTCACAATGTCTTCTTTTACTCACTTGCTTGACCTTATTGGTTTGCTAAACCTCTCAAATATTTACTTACGTTTTCAAGCTGAATTTCAAGCCCTCCCGTGTACTAAAAATTAATTCCCTCAAGAACCAGCAGATGATGTTAAGGTAGTCTCTTCCCTCAAAATCATTAGGTTTCAACAAGACAGAAATAAGTTTCTCAACCTGAGAAACCAAGTGCAAATGTTATGATTTTTTAAAAGGATATCTTAACTTCCAAATCAGAGGTGCAACTAAAAGTGAAGCAAGTCTATTCACCATTCTCAAGTGAAAAAAGGCGCCAACTGCTGCAAGCCTCAAAGGGTACAGAGGGGAAGGAGGGAGCAAGAATTTGGGGCTTCTGCCAGGGTCCGGTATCAACACCTTGCACTGAAGTAATGTATAGCTGATCTGCTTCTCCCGACTACATGACAACTGCATCTACCTTCAATCAAATAAGCCAGCCGCCTCAAGCTGTCTGCAGCTGCTGTCGTTCAGAATACAGCCAAATGGCCAAAAGCGCAGGAGTCTGGTGCTACGCAAACTAGCAGGTGTAGAGCACGCTGTAACAGCACGTACTGTTTCAAACACTGAAACTGGATATGCAGCAAACAGCTCTAGAAAGTGCACCACTTGGGGAAAAAAAAAGATGTTTATGAAACCAAGCAAGGAAACTTGCTAACTCCAAAGTCACATGGGCTACCTTCACATGTGAACGAAATAAATTTCCACATACTAAATGAACAAAAATATTTTATTACCAAAGATACTTCTCTACATCATATTGATTAAGCGTCAGGAAACACTCATGTATTTATTGGTTTCAGATACACTCTGAAGTCATCTGCTCACCCTTTACATTTTGGCAGAAATTTTGACTGGAGATGTAAAATACACTTCCCTCTTTATTTACTAGAGATACATGACACTATTTTCCCTTTTGGAGCTCATCCATCCCTCAACATAATTGACTTCTGTCATTAGAAGTCAATTTTTGTATCATCAACGCCAATCATGTTGTTCAGCCTCACCAATAGCCAAGCCAATATTTTTGTTGTTTCTGCTTTAGTGACACTAAATTTTATTCACCTGAAACCAGCTGATTCTGACAGCTGCTACACATAGATTTACGGAATGGCACGATGGCTCTTGTCAAAACACCCCAAAACTTGCTGGAGACAGAGGAAACCAAGAATATGAATTTTACAAGCCAGAGAGAAAGCATAGTTCTCTTTCCCAATTGGGAAATCCTGCATTCCACCTAACAGGCGCTGGCATTAGAAGTACAACCAGCTCACTGATTCACTGTAGTGAATTCACCTGAGGAGTCCCAGTTAAAATGCCTCCAGTTCACCGGGAGGAATCCAACCCTTTACTCCTAGTTTCACTATAGATATTTTTAAGTTTACTTGAAGAAGGTGTTTCTACTTAACATGCTTATGAGATTTTTTTTTTTTCATTTATTTAACCTGACATCAGACGAATCACATATTCTTCTATTTTTAGTAGAATCCAGGACAGAAGCGTTTGGCCTTCCTCTCTAAAAATGAATTTTGTATCATATAACGTGTGCACAAGAGAGAGAATGAATGCATACACATAGAAATAGCCTGCAGGCTACATTGCTGCTGTAAGCTCTACAAAAGCTTCCCTTTAGAGATCGCCACATGCTTTGACTCAACAACAGCCACTTCTTTTGAGTGAGATGAGCAGTGGAGCACATTCTCAAGGACAAGTGAAAAATAAAAGCCTTCCACAACAGAAAAGCACAGAGACCACTGAATGTCACGCTAAACTGTATCCAGTTTATCATGAAGGTCAAGGTTTGGCTTACAAACCATTAAGACAGGTCAAATAGACTGTCTCCCCATGTGCCACACAAACAACTATGCTCTGCTGCGTTATTCCTGATGCTGGCTCTGGGCTTAAAATCAGGACATTAGCAACCTGTTTGCTTTTTGCTGGGTTTTTATCTGCTAAGGCTACGCTTGACAAACATTGAAGATAAAAAGAATACTGGATTGATGCTGATTACAACTGACATGAACAGAAGGCATCAGAAAATAAAACCTTTAATCCAGGCTCTCTGCTTTGTATTTGTATCTGAATGAGTATATATTACCCACGCACAAAGTTAAGATATAATCAGGAAAATAAATTAAATAGTGCTTTGAATTACACATATTATTATAATAGTCATTATTTATTATCATACATGCAGTTCCAGCTATCTGTACTATTGACTAGGCAACAGATACATTTGTTTCTTTACAAACATTTTATTCTTTACAAGTATTCACAAACACCACATTAGGCTAGATTTAGCTTCTGACTACCACCAAAGAAATCTAAGAGCAGTCGTGCTGTTTCTTTATGCTGACACCACCTTGTTTTTAACTTTAGGGCTAAGTTAAATTCAGAGCAATTCAGAATCAAGTCCTGTCCACCTGTTTCATTCACACAATGTTTTATTTATAAATAAAATTGTCATCTAAAAAGAGAGGAAAAACTTACACTGGTTCTCAAAAAGAAGAACTTGCATTCCATAAAGGGAAAATGACTGTCGAAAACTGTATGTGACTGAGTTCTTCTTCTTTTGAAAAATCTTGGTCACCTGGAAGTTATCAAATAAACAAAGAAAAATGTCCCTTTTACCATACATGATTGTGGAAAACTATTGTTCTTAAGAAAACATTTTCTGCCAAAGAAAGCTATAATCTGCCAGAAAATATGAACTTGTAATTTTTTCCTTTTTTTAAAATGCAACTGATGTATTTTATCTGCTACTACTGAAGAACTGTCTAGCTTTGAAGCATTGGTGTCTCTTAACCAGCTTTAATATTTTATCCAGATACAAAGCCTTTGTGTTCTCTGTTCTCCATCTACTTCCTGAAATTCCAGAAAGAAAAAAAAAAACCCGCTTCCCTTATTATGCTCTGTACATGCTAGCAAAAATGTAAATATGTTCAAATTATCTTTTTTTAAAAAAACTTAGCTGCTACCACACTTTCCTTCATGCTTTTGTCTTACAGACTGGCCTACAGGCAGGACACGCCTGTGGACCTCTCCACACAAGTTTAATTCTCAGCCTGTACTGTCACATGTGCTGTGACCTTCCAAACCTGCTTCATTTATGTGCACCTCCAAACACCACCTTCCACTATCTCATCTAACGATGCCCTGTTCTCCCTGCGATTTGTACAGCACCTATCTCAATAAAAGCTCGAAGTCTGTAGAAACCTTTACTTTTTGCTACAATAGAAGTAACATACTACTACTTATCATCAATTTTGGGTTTTTCCCAAAGTGCGAATGCAACCACTCTTTATAACCAGGAGGTTTATTTTCACTAGTTCTAATTTTAACTTTTGGCGATGGCATTTGGTCTATGTTACTCCCAAAACAGTTTTATAGAACTACTGACTTCTGATTAAGTAATGAAAAATGACAGAAAACTTGCAACTTGAAGATGACAATGTTCCATCACTTTACACCTAAGCTCACATTCACAACTAGAAGGTTATACTCAGAATCAAAAGGATTAGGGTTTTTTTTTTTATTTACTTCCTGCTTTTAAGGTCTGAAGGTATGTAAAAATTACACACAATAAAACTGTGCATCTGAAGCATGCCTTTTTCATAACAAAACACGAAATATTTAGTTTCGTTCTCATTTCTTAGGTAACAGCCAAACACATTCCAAATAGAGTGCAACAAATCTTCCTATTTTTAACAGTAAATCAACCAAATAATTCCAAGCTGTCACTAGTTTTGTATGTCTGTTTTTTAAAAGACTGGGTCAAATTAAATGCACACAAAAAATTAAAAGGCAACTGTAAAATGTATTTCAACACATCCTATTCCTACTTCAATTAATAAACATGTCTGGTTCATAGAACCTCTGGGGAATACAAAGAAGGATGTAATTTTGTTTTTCCAGAAGTAACCTGAATTCATTATTCACAGAATAAAGAATGTCTTCATTCACCCATTAGGGAAACGGGTAAACTGGAGGTAATTTTTGTTCTTTATAGTAAAAGCTATTGTGCCAAAGTACTTTCTTATAATAGAGTTCAGTAATCAATAAAAGGCTTCAGTTTAAAGCAAATTATACATAATGAAGAAAATTAAGAAAATTTGAATCTTGATCATCTCAAGATTGTTGGAGTACAGAGTAGCATGTAATAGATATTTATTTTTAGGAATGCTCATTCACTTAATTGCCACTGATTTCATGGAGACAGGCATTTCTGAATGCCTCACTAGAAAGCCTATCCACCTGCAAATACATACCACAAGAAGATCATTAAATAAAAATATTTCTCGCTGGTGCAATCCAAGCTTCTGAGGTTTATTTGGATCTGGCACTTCAAACAGCCTACAGTAGCAAACAAGCCTCCGGTGGGGTAGAGAGAGGACCTATGACAATACAGAAGTTCATGGTCAATATAGCAATATTTAGTCAAGAAAGAGCATTTTTCATACCCAGAGTAATTTTTTGAATACTTCAAATACTTTTACCTCTAAGCCCATTAGACTCTTTCATCAAAGGACCAACAACAGAAAAATAAAGATTTATATGCTACAAACTTGCATGACATTCAGACTTCATCAAAATTCTTATACAAAATATCCTCTAACAGTTTGCATTACTGCATATAGATGCCAATAAAGTTTTACTGGGGATAGAGTTTTACTTCATGAAGCAATAAAACCTTGAAAGAACTTAAGATTAAGCAAGTGGGAGCTCAAAGCAAAGGATGTTTGCTTTCCTGAGCATTTTTACATATCTTTATTAGAAGAAAGGATGCAAAGCAACTTCAGCTTTTATGAGATGAATACACTGATGTTGTAGATAACTGTTTCTCAGCCCCTGAGTTAATTCAATTTGTTCATTCCCCAATACCAAGGAAGTGGGGACATCAGGAAAAAGTAAATGCATTTTCAGTCTGACTTATTTTCTCATGCCGGCAAGAAAACCAAGAATAATTTTCCATTTTCTTATTTGAAATGTCGCTGAAGCTATCTCTGAAGCTTCTGTTTTCAACCTAGCAAGACTTAATTTCTTTTAAATGCAGACAATATCTTGTCAGGAATACTAAAAGAAATCCTTTATACTTTAAAAATTTGAAGTAGAGAATATTCTTTGGTAACTAGACATACATTTCATTTATGTATTAAATTTCTTTATAATTCCTGATTCTCCATGGGAATTACAAGATTTACTAGTCAAAGAAAAACAAAGACTTAATGCTTCTTCTTCCTCTACATGAGCAGCAGAAAAAAAAAGGGGGTGGGAAGAGTGTAGGATTCACTATCTGCCCTTGTTCCTGGTTGGTTATGAAGTCATTTGGTGAGATTTCAGTTTTTCCCCCAAATCCAATGATAGCTATACTAATAACAGACAAAATGCTAATAGCATGTAATTTATCTATGGCATTAGTTTAATTACCCTCCCTGAACTTGGAAGACAAAGGTATTTCAGAAAAAATCTGACATGTTCTAAAGGAGCTAGTGTGGTGAAGAATGCTGGAGAAACCAATGGTTTCTATTTTCAGGCTATTCCGGTAACTGAACAGCTGACATGGGTTCTCAGTGGACAGTGGCAGGAATAAATGTGGCATGTTCTCCCTCTCTCTGATGTCCAGACTTAGCTTCCCCAGCACATGAGATTTGCTACAGCGAGATAACAAAACCCAAAGGTAGTCACTGAGCCTATGAACTTCCAAACAACTACAGTGAGCTCTGGTACTGAAATCTAACCATAGACCGTGCTTTCACTCATAGCAATAGATGACCTGGTAAGATTCCCTGCCACCGTATTTTTATAAAGGTCACACCTTTCAGTTTGGTTTTACAGTCCAGTGGCACTGCTAGGCATGCATCCATGAAACAATGACAGGTACTTCGCTTAGGAATACGAAGTTAGCTTTGCATTATTTTAATTGTTTACACGGAAAAAGCAAGAAACAGAAGACTGAAAAAACAAATGAGAGTTTAAAGTTCCTTTCTGGATTGTCCCGAGTGAAGACGCTCACACACAGTGCAGTCAGAATTGAGCAAAAAGAAATCATTAGGATCAAATTCGTATAAGATGATTTCAGAGCACTATGTGCACTCCTCTGCTATGAGGTGGTTTTTTTGTTTGTTCAAAACTACTAGCAATAATATTATCATGAAATTAAATTTAAGCAGAACACTGCATTAGAAGAACAGTTTTTGGATTATTATTGAATATTCCTATAACTTAAATCTGGAATCAATATTTTCTATGTCCATCTACCTTTCAGAAGAGAACTGTTAAATTAACTGGCAATATCTTCGTAGAGTGTCATTAAATACTGAAATGGACCAGAAAGAATGAACACAGTAGGGCTCAGGGGGAAAGGTGAGGCGCAATTCTAATTTTACTTCTTTATTTATTCTTTACTAGCTAATTTCTACAGTGATAAAAGCAGCTGAAATGCATAAAAAGTGTACTAAAAAAGGTGTAGAAAACTCTTGGCAATAAATTAAGCAGTCTCTCTGGGAAACAAGTTTTTAAGAAAATCTTTATACTTTGGAGAGTTATTACTACAACAACAGGAAAATTTTGCTTTAAAGAAGCCCAATTTTTTAAAATGCTACAATGTAATAGAATGCATTATTGCCAGATTAAGAAAAAGCTGCCAGTTATAATTACTATAAATTTTGAAGGAGGATGAAAGAAATACCTACACAACCAAGTCCATGATGCAGAGATCCAATCTACAGTAGAAAGACATATACAAGTTCGTTAAACTTCAGAGAAACACAGTACTGTATCTTAGCAACTAAATACGTCACGGTCTTACTATGACTAAATGCCTATGAAGTAAAAACAAATACTTCTATCAGTAAATACTGTTGGCTATTTCCTAAATTTTTTTTCACACAGCTACAAAGCCTCTCAATGGAAGAATCCTTGAACTTAGGACTCTATTGAGGGCATTGTTTTCTTAATCCCATTTAATTTACAAGGTCAGGATTAGTTTTAGGATTTGAATTGCCACATGCCTGAATAAAAAAAGAACGAGGGAAAAAAAAAACATCTCCCACAGAAGCCTATATATAAACGTAAATCCCCAAACAATTATGGAAAATGAGTTTCATATGAAAGCATTAAGTGACTGTCAAATACTGAATTTAGAATATTTATTTCCCTTCTGCTCAAAAATATGTTAAAGCTTTTATCAAGAAAATTTTGTTTTCTCTCTCCACTGCTTCTTCCAAGACATCTCCTCAATATTTCCTTACTGGGAAACAGAAGTAGATTGGATTTTCTTTTTTTGGTGGTCCCTCATTCTCTTCTCTCCCCTCCCGCACTGAGACTTGTCTGAGAAGAGATTACCATTCAAAGCTCTTTAAAGGTAATACGGAGAATCTTGAGATCCATTGGCTTTTTCTTAATAAAAAAAAAAAAACCCAACCCATCAGTCTCTGCTTCAGCAAAGTTCCCCAGAGCTGATAATTAACTGATGCAGTACTTCAAAAACATGCAAGTCTCGGGTTTTTTGTCTTTGTTTTGGGCTGCCTTCGTGACTATTAACATGAAAATTTTCAGAAGATGACTCTAGGACTTGAATTCAGGAAGGATGAGTATCTTTCGTCCCTCTCCACATTAGATACAATTGTCAGCATATAAAATATTGGTCTTAATATCTCTGTGTTCACTCGGCTCCTAAAAGAAAGGGAAAAATGCTGTGGCCTTCCTTTTCTCTCTCTTTTTCCAACAGACACTTTGAAGATGAATTTATATAGCAAAGTATTTTAGGATTTCTTCCCACAACAAAGCAAGAGTTATCTTTGGATGCTCAAACCCAGCACTAAAATCCATGGGACCTGATTTCTGAGACCAAATGACACAATCTCCCCTCGCTAACAGCGGTTCATAGAGCTAGCTGCAAAGCTGAGAAAAGACGCTGACGTGAACAGAAGTTCTCTATTGCTCTTGTAAATTATGGAGCCATAACTGACAGCAGAAGTGTTGAAATACCATTTTCTACAACATCACTTTAACAACACACTTCAATTCACCTGAAACAAACATGAGAGCTGCCTAAGATGCAGATATTTCAGTGTAATTTCAGAATTGTAAAGCTTCATGTAGAGAAAAGAGTTTCAGACTCATAACATCATCACTCATGAATACCCGATTGCAACAACAAAATTCACCTGCACTGTGAATGCTCCAAAATTAAAACCAACCTTATAGCAAATTATTATTTTGACAGTTTCTGCCTTTTGCCCTCTAAGCAACACACCTCTGTATTGTTCTGTACCGTACACTGCCCTACATCTCCTTAGTAGCTGACATGCAGTGCCAAGTGAACATACCGGTTTCTTTCCTACTATGAGTTTTTCAACCTTCTGGACTTGGGATACATGATCCTCGTTCGTCTTCAGTTCCCGTTTACGGATTCGCTCGTAAATCCCAATCAGCATTTCTCGTGGGATATCTTCACCGTCATCCACACCTGCAGAAGCCAACGGTTTCTATCAGCCTGGGTCTGCACGAGCTAACACACACTGTTATTTCTCAGCAATGTAGGCTTCTCAGCAAAGAGAGGATAAAAACGTGGGCAATCTTTGTTTCCTCTGCTAACGGTAATGCCAACATTGCCTAGAACGGCTGATGTACTTGTTTATGCTGTTGTGTTTCACAACTGCCAGTACTGTCAGCTAACATCTCCTATGCTGTCCTTGTGCCTACCATACCAAAGCAGCAGAAGTTCCATTACTCATCACTGAAGCACTGATTTTTGTCCAAAAGCTTGCTGCCCCCAATACGCCAAGACATTGATGGAAATGACACAGATTTGGGATTTTTTTGTTTTGTAACTCCTAATCTAAAGCTAAGCCATAAAAAGACTAATTTCCTACATTTGTTTTTTGTTTTTCTTGCAAGTTTCCTCTGTTCGGTATCAAAGCTCAAATGAGTTAAATAACCCTTTAGACACTAAAATCTCCATATGACCTCTTCCTAGGTGTATACCTCTGGGAGGAAACAGAACAACCATTCAATTTTGCCTATATCCCAGTATTACTCAACACTGTTCATAAAATAACTCCCTACAAGAGAACCTTATGAATATCCAGTAAAATTAATTTAACCAATATTTCCTGTATGATTTCAAAAACAATTAATTTACTCTGGAAAAACAAATCATCAAAATAACCTAGTTACAATATTATTGTTTAGCACTGTGTGAATATCATTGGCATGTAAGTATTTTAACAAATGCCACAGTGTCCCGAATGCTTGATCCTGAATTTTTGATAGCAGTCGAAGTAGCCCAATTTTAATAAGCGTCTTAAAGCTGGATTTCCTGGGGACAGGGAGATGCATGTCTATTTTTAAAACAGATTTTATCTCCCATTCAGAAGCCAAAATAGAATATTTTGTCACCCAGTGGAACATAAAAAATACTGTGATAAAATAGTTTCTTTGCAATAACAAAACCCGCCTCTGTTCTGTTCCACACCCGGAAGTCTTCCAGAGCCCACCCTTTGGAATCCAGTCATTTGAAGTTAGAGACAAGGTAGCCTGTTACAAAAATGCCTACAATGAGAAGAAATTGCTGGCATTCAGGCTGGAGCTCAGAGAGAATGTACTATATAAATATAACTGTAGTATTATGCTAAGAGATTAATAGCAGACCTTTTTAAGTCTTTGTGGACTTTACAATAAAATCTCAACACTAACTTAAATTTTGCTAAGCTAAAACATCTGCTAAGCATAGATCATTCATCGCTGTCTTATATAAATCTAAGGGCATAAAATCATCAAACAGGACTTGCATTTTCAAGATCTGAAATTCCAGAACACCACAAGTATTTTGTTTTTACTAGTACTAAAATGAAAGTACCACATGCACACATGAACACAAACTGCCTGAATACAAAAATCCATCTGAGATGTGCCAATATATTTTTATATATTAAGCAACTCGATTCTGTCTTTCTGCCAGTCAGCCTGCTTTTAGGTATCACTGAGAAAACGGCTGTTAAACAATACGTCAGTGCTTGCTGGTGCCTGCAGCAGTGGGCCTATTGTGCTACCATGCTGCTGCACCCATTGTTGCCAAAAGAAAAGAGACTGTGCACTACGTCGTCCTTATCCTGTGCTTATAAGCAGGGGAGGAGGAGGAGAGGGTTGCAGTGACTGAGCAGGCAATTCTCCTGGCCTTTGCACAAACGCACAGCAATGGAACTATAGTAAAAGCTGCTTTTCCCTATGGGCACAAACTATCTTAAAGGAAAAAAAGGGATGGGGACTTCAGCCTCATTTTATTTTTCTAACATCTGAGCGTTCTTCCGTGATAAAAGGCAAATGCTGTCTGATCAACTCTTCCTTGAGTGCCCAGGAACAACAGGAGGTATCATCCCCTCATGCACGATCTTCCTCCTCAGCTCTACAGCGACCAATTCCTGTTAGGCACAGCTGAGCGCTGCCTGAGCTGACACTTCATAAAAAAACCTGTTTTTTTCATCAAAAGAACCAGGATAGAAAGATCTGAGATACAGACTTGAAAAAATATCAGTATTTTTTTGGCAATCTGATGGCAAGCTTAGGTATGTCCTAGCTTTGCAAACAGTTTACTGATCAGAAAATATACCAAAATGAAATTTCTGTGCTATTTACAGTGTACCTTTCAGGAAGGTTTTGGAGTTGTGATTTTTTGTTTTTTCCCCACAGAGAACTGAAATCTTTAGTTTAGTTCCAAAAGTTCCCATCATGGCATAGTGGTTTCTGTTCCTTATACATACATACACGGGAATAAAAGGACCCAACAATACATCCACTCAAGACAGACAAGATAATAATGACAAAATACTATAAGCTTAGTTCTGTTTTCACTATTCCAGAAATAACTAAAGCCTGTAAAAATGACAGCAGTATTAAAAGTCAGGTGAAATCCCAATCAAGTGCCCTGTATTTTGTCTTTTTCCCAGAAAATACGTGGCGTCCCTCTACTGACAGTTACAGGGAAAAACTTTCATGTCCTTCGTCATTAGAGTTTGCTTACCCCTCAGATTCTTGACAAAATCTTCTAGCTTCATTTTGCGTTCTGGTTTCACATTTGGGCTGTACATATCTGTGTTTAACAGTATGATGGCAAAAGCTAGAATGAAGATGGTATCAGGATTTCTAAATTGTCTCACAACACCCGGGTTGCAGATACAATATCGTTGGCTGTAAAAAAGCAAAGAGGGGAAGCTGTCAAAGCTATGAATTACTCTTCTAATTCCACCAAATAAAGCAAACACTACATTCCAGAGACTGAGCAAACTCTTGTGTTCCATACATACATTTATTTTTCTGTCCACATATTTTCATAAGCTGATCTAGAACATGGAAGGCTTTTGTTTTCTACTACCACTGTAACTTCACTTCTTAGTACAGAGTCTGAGCTACAATAACCTCAATATTTTTTTTTTTTTTTTTCAGTTAGTAATGCCTATTAACACCAGGTAAGAATATAGCATTGATTTTAGCTTACTGCCACATGGTGGTTTACATCTCCTCCTGCCTGGGATAAAATACACGTGTGTTAGTATTGATAAGTTAATGCTCTTTATTCCACTACTGTTGAAATGCTTAATGAAAGGTTTAGAGCATAAATATTCTAAAATGTAAAATGTCAATGGTCTTATAATTCCATTCACATAAACTATTAGATGCAAACTGTTAGAGATATTAAAAAAAATCGCTGAATTTCTTTTCAACTGATGCCAGAAAGAACTTCTAATTGATAAACCTTGCTACATTAATACAAATTATGTCCATGAACAGCACCAGCAAATAAAACTTCCTATTTCATACTTAGCAAACCACCACAAATGACACGCTATATTTAAAATTGTATGTAGCTAAGGACAGTGCAAATAAGCAGTGAAATAACTTAGATATACTCAACTACCCCAGTTCTCCAGTTTGACCGTTAGACAACAGTACGTTTCTAGTGACTGAGTTAATTTATTTCAGCATCATACCTGAAAGCTTCAATGAGCCGTTCCACTTTCTGGGCTTCTCCTTGAACACGGATATGAGCCTGAAATTTCCTGAGTGCTTCATCCAGTTCCATTGTTGAGAAGTCCATCTCATCGACAACACAGCTAGGATAAAAACATATTGCCATGGTGTCTTTTAATTTCTAACAACACAGTACCTAAGGTAAGATTTTGAGATCCAAAGAACCTTTCTGTTTTCCATCTCTTGTAGAGATTCATCAAGGTTTTTTAAACATCCAGCAGCAAGTGCAATAATTATAGGTAAGCTGTGAATGAAAGATTGCAAATAATAGATCAATGAGAATGCACACACATCAACAGGCCCTTTTTAAAAAAAAAAAAACCAAACAACAAACAAACAGAAGAGCTGCTGGAGTGACAAATGCCTGACCAATGTAAGTGACATACCATTCCCAAGGATAATGACTGGCTTTGTGCTTCCAGGCCAATCAATTATTACAATGCCTATAATAGATAGTTTATAATGCTCAAAATATCAAATCTCAAACAGCCTGCAGCAAGCACAATAATCTGTACCCAAATGGCTCTATATCTATGAATGTTCTTACATATGGAGAAAAAACATACTGTTGTTTGGATACTCTCTAACTATTACTGTCATTCTCATCTCGCCATCATTTGCCCTGTCTTTCAGTTAACACTTATGGAGAAGGAATTAATTTCTTGCTCTGAAAATACAGTGCTGACAAAAAATAAAAAGGAACCAGTTTAATATAATCAACAATGTGAACCGTGTCATTCTAATACATTGTTTAAAGACTACTTCAAAATCAGAAGCCTATAAATTTCCCTTCTTTAAACTTAGCTTTTAGTTTTTAAATAACCAGACATGAATCACTGCAAGTAACAGCACTGTAATGCAGAAACCGCAGAAAGAAAGCACAATCCAGATTTAAAAGCCTTTTCTTGAATGTATAGCTATTCAGTGATAAATTAGAGTAGCTCACATTTTTCTTCCAGTAACATTCTAGCTAACACTGATTAATACCAAAGCCATTTATTCACTTTGCCTTGAAAATTTTTCCCTTTATGCAGAAGCGCCAGGAAACAAACAGGCTTGGTATTTCTCATGCTCTTCCCAATCCACACCTAAAAACCTACTACCTACTATCAGTTCTGCAATAAAGTTCACAGTCTTCCCACCTACTGTAAGTTCCGTAACACTTTCAAAAGCTCTCTTCTCCTTCAAAGGTGTAAAGCAAATGGGCAGACAAGCTGGAGTCAAACTGAAGTAATTAGAGCAATTAAGGTCATCCAGAAACATGCTGGCCAACAACATAAAGGTGAGGGGCTTAAACAATCTTTTATATAACTATGGAGATGGCAGGTGCATCACCACGGTCAATGCTCTTAACTGGAACCAGTACTTTTCCACAAATATTTCAAAATAGTAAACAAAACTTTTCTAGTGGCTATGGCATGACAAAAAAGGGAACAAGCTACTTTGGGTAGGTCAATACAGCAAATGGAGTTGTGGAAGTAAGATCAGATGTACTTGTTTAGCTTTTTTAAAAAACAACGGTTAACAAAATTATAATCCTTGATAATAATATCACGATCATAATGATAAAGAGAACACGATTAAATGGACTTTACTCACTGCAGGAGAACTTGAGTACACACATACTCTAGGTGAATAAGCCTGTGCTGAATGACCACTTCTTCATAGAATCAGAATCACAGAATGGTTTGGGTTGGAAAGGAACTTAAAGATCATCGAGTTCCAACCCCCCTGCCATGGGCAGGGACACCTCCCACTAGCCCAGGTTGCCCAAAGCCTCATCCAGCCTGGCCTTGAACCCCTCCAGGGATGGGGCATCCCCAGCTTCTCTGGGCAACCTGGGCCACTGCCTCACCACCCGCACAGTGAAAAATTTCTTCCTAATAGCTAATCTAAATCTGCCCTCTTTCAGCTTATAACTACTTATATTCACTACTATAGTTACATCTCCCTGGCAGGTAAAAGCAAGAAGCAGCTAGGCTTCCCCACTTCTAGGCAAGCAGATAACTGAAACTTCTTCCAGGCAACTATCCCTTGCTGAAATTTAGGCACGAGTGGAACATACCATTTGCTGGGTCACCGCAGTTACAACTGCCTTGATTCTCTACTGTACCATTTGCCTGTACTCTTGCACATAACCGTGTAGTGTAACAAACTGAAATGATGCAGTCCTTTACAGAGCAACAGAATGTCATGCTTCCCCCTCTCTTTTAACACTGTTCTTTATGATGTTTTGTTTTATTCTTTCTTTGAGTGACTGCACTTTGTTTTCTAATGCAAAGTCAAGACACAGCAGAAGGTCAGCTCGTCAGCTACATCTCTATTACATCAAGCACTCCTTGGTCAGGCAGAGAGCAAACTGAGGCTCAGTGCAGAACAGCAGTGCTCTGGGAAGCATGGCTGATGTGCCCAAATGTCAACCAGGGCAACAACATCAGTGCCAGCTCCCCCTCCCAAAAAATGCCTCTACAGCTGAGCTACCCGCAGGCAGCAACTACAGCAGGCCCAGAATGCAGATCTTGGTCAAAAATTTAGGCTACTCTCTTGAATATTTTCTAAGCTCCAGTAAAAAGATTTCAAACAGTTGAAAACCCCAATTTATAGCATCTGGGAAACTCAAATCAAAGCAAGTCACTTGAAATTAAATTGTGTAACAGAAAAAGGATCATCTGTTAAACATCTTTTCCATTTAACAACCTGGAGCTATTACCAGTTCAACAAAATCTACATCCAATCTGTACATGTGGTATTTAAGATGAAAAGCTAATCTATCCTCTCTTTTTAAGAAAAAATACCTTGTTCCTATTTGCAGGCAAGGTTAAGAACACTATCAAGAGAACTGCACCATTTACAGGGTGTTCCTTGCCCCAAAGCATATCTGAAACAGCTTATTTAAGAACAAATTAATTTCAATAAAAGGATTGTTGTGGGGTCGTAGGTAGGTGATTAGGACCTTACTCTTAACAATTGACCTCATCACAGATACAACATCTGGCTTAGCAGAGACATCCTTCTCACCCATATTCTGCTGGTCTGTTTGAGACAGTGAGGGCAAATGATTTGTTCGAGATCACAAAATGAATCATCTGAGATTAGAAATCATCTCGACCTGGACCTGTACTGTTTTCTTTTAAAAAGTTAGAAAATCCACTCTCTTTCGAAAGTCTTCACCCTAGTCTGACTCATAATTGCAAAATACTGATGACGATTACAAGTAGCTAATAATGACTCATGCTGAATACCGACTCCATCAAAATCAAGCCATATTCTGTTACTCTGCATTGTAAGGCTTGCTACTACACTGCACTGCATGCTTTGGTACAGAGCCTCTTCCGTTGCCTTCTGATGGGTATTGTGCTATACGAGGCACAGGAAGGAAAGAGAAGACCTCTACAAAAGGTCTATGGCATATGTACACGTGATGTTAGCTGTATTAATACAGAGTTCAAGCTTGCAATGTGAGATATATAAATTCTGACAGCATAATAGTAAGATCAGGATGACTGTAGGGAACATGGGCAACATCTTTGCCGTACGAAGCCCGTGAGAGCAATCTATAAGAAATATGCAAAGAAAATATTAGGTGTTAGTAGACACTTTGTATCGTGATACCATAACCTTAACATTTTTGCGATGTATTGATATTATGGCATCAATATTATATATAAACATTTAGTTCTCAAGAAAGACTGCATCTATAGACCAATGCAAATTTCAGCACAGCTTCTATTACACTCTGGTTAAAACCTATGGTCAGAATTTTTCCTAGTCTTCCTTAATGGGCAAGATCTGGGGTTTTTGCTTTCATTCTCAGAAGTTTTGTTAAACTTCTAGCTAAGCTTTTTATACAATTCATTGAACAAAACTGGACTAAGATATATTCATGTTTACAGGTCAGCGTATCAGATAAAAAAAGCCCCCAAAGAACAGGTGATTTAAATGAACACCCTCTTAAAATAAAGCAAATTATTTTTCAGTCTGCTCTGTATATAAGGTTTGAAATCCAAGACCATGCTGCTAAAAGTCTGATTTTCTGCTTTGAATTTCTTTGATTTTTAAAACAGTTTCTGTTTATCTAATGTTTTGGAAAAGAACAGTTTGTGTAGATCTTGTCAGCATATGCCTGTGCAGGCTGAAATCCCTGTTTATCTAACATCCGAGCCATGTGGCTGCAATAATTATTTTCATGTTTTGTTACTGATGAAGCCTTATGTTGCAAATAATATTATTTTGTTTCATTCAGTAAATTATTAGAGAGCCTAAGGAAGGAAAAATACTTTGAAATAACATACTCTAATGCCAAGAAAATGAGAACATAAATTCAGAGTAAATGTACATGACTACAGGGAATATAAATCCTTCTAAGTATCTTGCTGGATCAATAATAAAAACAGTAACTTAGCTGGAAAGCAAAGAAATAAATATTTGCTCATGTGGATGCTTTCTTTCTTAACCCTTAGAGTCTGGTTTCCCTCTCCTCTAGAACAAGATGCAGAGATAAGCACAGAACTGAATTCAGAGACCATTACTACCTCTAGCTTGATGAAACACCTTACTTGAACATTAAAATATGCTTACCTCCTCCCCACACACAATACTCACTCTAATACATCCCGGTTGAACTGTTTTTGCCGATTTCCCAAAAATTCTCCAATCATCTGTCTGCTGAGACCTTTCCTTTGCAGGAGAAAGTGGGCAACACCAACTGGAGTGTCTGGCACAAAGCCTCGCTCAATCAGGTACTGGACTCCTTTTTCAGGTTTTCTGTGGAGAAATGAAAATGCAAAACTATTAATTTTTTTTCCATTGGATCTGAAGGCATCTGATTAAAATTTTACAACAATTTTGCAAATCACTTTTGACTAACATACTACTAATATAGTTTCAGGATAAATGTAACTATCCTGTCCAACATAACATTCACTGTTAATAGCTTACTAGCGCTGAAACATGTCTTTGCATATCATTATCCATTTCCCTGCCCCATAACCCTTCCAAAGAGAAGTTTTATATGCAAGCAGCTTCAGGCATGAAATTCAAAACTCTTGTCAATGCAAAAGACAAGCCCAACATCAGCTACTAAATGCTCCTGTTGCTGGGAGAGATGTACTTTCTGGAAACAGAACTAAAAAGCTGCTGCTCACAAACAAGAAACAAAGAACACCCCTGACCTCCCACCCCGCTGCTGCCAAAGTTAAACTTACTGAACAAAAACATCTGAAGAAGTTTAACTTGCAAGCTGAGCATATGAAAAACAATGGAAAAAATAAAGTCAGTCATGCAAAAAGAAGCAATTAAAAATACTGGAGCTCCCATCTAACTCAGATTTTTTTCTTCTTGTCCTTTAACACACACATTGCCCCAGATTTCCCTCCCTCTGACAAGCACCTTCATAGTTCCTTGGAGTGTTTTACATCTTTTTATACATCACCTCCTGATTTAGCTGTAACCATTTTCAGATCTCAAAACAAAGGAAACTGAAGCTACTCATTTTAACATATTAAGAAGCATGTGTTGGGGAGGAAGGATGGGGATGGAATTGATTTCTGGCAATAAAATCTACCACTTAAAAAGAAAAATGCTGCTTATATTTTAAGGTGATGTAAAGTTCCCCTCAAAGCAAATACTGTGCACTGCATCCTCCAGCAGTGTGACACAACAGACAACCATAATTTCTTTTAAAAATTTCTAAAAGGGATATGTTTACAGAACCAGTAATTTTGCCCTCATCTTTATTTTGTAAGGAATTAGAACATAATGTCCACCTGTAAAAGTGAATGATTTGCAGCATGTTGGATGGCCTGGAAAATATTTCCTTTATCGTAAGTAAAATCAACTTCAAAGAACAAGGTGACTGTAGAATTTTCATAGAAGGTTGATCATACAAGCATAACCCTTCCTCAGGGTTTTTAATTGCAAATAACACTACTAAATACATCACCATCCAGTTCTCCTACTCTTTTATATTAGACTATTGTACACTTAATACCCTATTAAGAGTTAGATAGATCAGAGGAATATATATAGTTTTAATCAAAAGGGAGTTCTCAAATCTCAATTTCTTGCATCAGCTTTGTGGCTCTTTTCATCTGAAATAAGATTACACATATGGTCATTTTCTCAATACAATCTTGTAAAATGAACCTCCTTCACGGAAGAAAAAGGGTGCTTTGTAAGTAATGCAACTGTTATGTTCATATGCTTTTGAGTTGTATTTCAGAGTTCTTATTCTTTCTGAATTTTAACTCGCAGCATCCAACAAGAACAGAAATAGTTTCGCCCGTCCCCCTTGTTAGTGAGCTACATTTGTCCATAAAATTTGGAGTGATCCAAACCCTGGAGAGTTCCTCTCCAGCCACTACCAAAACAGAAAACAAAGTATGCTATCAAAACACGCAACTTGATCGAAAGATCACCCTTTACTTGAGATACAGAAAATGCTGGATCGTTACTTATTGTACTAAACCACAACTTGAATTCTCACCACCTGCGTAAACCTGAAGACTTAAAATTATACAATTACATAGGAACTGATGCAAAATAAATCACGTTGCCTTTATGATTATTTTACATAAGTCAGGGTCTGCTTTTTCACATAAGAAGTTCTGCTTCTGGTTCAGCAATATGAAATCACCTTATTCAAATATACTTCAAACCAGGCTAGGTAAGTCTCCAAAACAGACCTAAAAATCCATTTAGCAATACACTGAAAGCCCCAAGCTCTTTTTCAATCGGTACTTTCTTCATGCTGAAGTGAAGCATCAGGAAGTTTTGCAGTCTAGGATTATTTGAAAGTAGTCCAATTTGTTACGAAAGTTGTAACACAAAAGCAATGTAAACTCTGAACTGTAATGATATGAAAATAGTACCTGAAAACTCTGAACTGTGGGAATGAAG